GTGGAGCTCCTAGCGTGCATCGGTACGGTCGTTGAGCAGGTAGGTCTGCCCACCATCATCGGAGCTGATTTTAACATGAGCCCCGACAAGATAGTGTCGTCTGAGATTGTCAACAGGTTGGGGGCGCAGGTGGTCGTTACCAAAGACGTCGTGGGCACATGTGGCACTAGCATGCTTGATTAGTTTATCGTTACTGCTGGGCTCGCCAGAGGTATCTCCTCCGTCAGTGCCATTCACGCGTCTAACCTCGTTACTCACCTTCCTGTGCAGATGCAGTTTCACGCAGGGATTGGGGGGCTTCATGGGCTCGTGTTTCGGAAGCCCCCGCCGTTGCCGATTGAGCCCGCGATCGGTCCTGTGCCTCCACCTCCAGATTGGTCTGCTATTCAGTGTGAAGCTGGACGTGCCTTAGATGCTTGCCGCAGTGGCGACGTGCACGCTGTGCAGTGCCTGCTCGACACCCTCTATAAGCACTGGGCCGACCTTTCGTAGAAGGAGCTAGCGAGGGGTAGACAAACCACCCTGCCCTGTTGGGGGAGCAGGGGGAAGATGCCACAGCAGCATCGGGTTAACATTCTTGATCAAGATCGGGAAGCCCCCCACCGACAGCCCCATTTGTTTTCGATCAAATGGCTCGTGAGCAAGTTCAGGCTCCTTCTCCAACTTGACGCGGTCGCTATAGGATCCGCCCAGTCCCAGGAAATTCGGAGGTTGTTGCTCAACCCTCCCAGCTTTTTGAAGCAAGGGCTGGAGGTCCACAGCGACCTTGTCATGCGGGTGCAGTCTTTTTTAGGCCAGCATGACCTCCTCGACCTTGCTATTGGGGAATCCATTCTTTCCGACTTAGATGAGCACCTTGCGACCTTTGCCGTGAAGGCCAAGGCGCAGGCCCTCGCTGAGTGGAAAGAGTGGCTTCTTCAGTCCATCGACCAGGGCGCCAGGAGAGCGCGCCAGCAGGTCAGAGGCAGCCAACCATGGACACCACCACGACCCTCAGCAGGGAAGGAGCTGTCGTCTCGGACCCCCTGGCGCTGCTGGATTCGGAGGCCCGAGAATTCAGTAAGCTTTGGAGCGCCACTCCCGACCCCCCCCCCCCCCCCCTCGAAGGAGGCCAATTCCAATTCGTTGAACCCCTTCCCCGCCTCACTGTTGAAGCCCTGCGTTCGGCTTCTAGGCGGTATGCCGCCCGTTCTGCTACCGCTGTTGACGGGTTCCACATGAAGCATTTTGCCTGCCTTTCGGAGGGGTCCCTGGACGTCCTTGGCACCATGTATTCCATCATGGAAGCTTCTGGGCTGGTTCCTGGGCAAACCTCCCTGGTTGTGCTTTCCCTTCTCAACAAACCCTCTGGAGGGTATCGGCCCATCGGCCTTTTCTGTAGCACTCACCGCCTCTGGGGGCGGTGCCGCAGGCCCTATGCGGCCCATCGGGAAAGCAAGTTTCAGCGAAGCTACTTTGCTGGGCCCCCGCTTTCTTCCGCGATCGATGTTGTATGGAGGCAGACCCTGCGTGCTGAAGGAGCTGTGGCCAGTAGTCAGGCGAGTTGCACGGTTCTGTGGGATCTCTACATATGTTTCGAGTTGGTTCACTTGGGCACGCTCCTTCAGCGTTGCCATCAGTATGAGTTCCCCGTCCAGTTAGCTCGGCTTGCTGTGCGAGGTTATCGGCATGGCAGGTCTATTTCTCTCGGCGGCGTGGTCGTCGGCCCGTTCCACGTCACCAACGGCGTTGTCGCCGGCTGTGGTCTCGCGACCACCGTGGTGCGCATCAGTGCCATCCCCGCCCTAGACGCGTTTCAGCTGCCACCAGGAATCGCGCTCGACGTTTACATTGACGATTACGGTCTCAGCTGCAACGGGTCCAATGCCTACATTGCCAGGCACCTCCCTGAGGCCGCAGCCAACCTCAGGGAAGCCATCGAGGTCGATATGGGGGCGATCATTTCGCCTGACAAAGCTTCTCTCGTCGCCTCGTCGGACGTTCTCGCCATGGAAGTCAGGGACTGTCTTGGCGGCCTCGCGGGGCCCATCGCCCGAGGGGCCGTCAACCTGGGCATCGACTTCGCCCCAGGTTCCTCCCGACGGCTTCCTGGTAGGGGGAAAAAAGGTTTCCGACCGCAAACGGGTTTTCAACAAAAAAAGTCAGGAGGCTCAAGCGAGCCAAGCGGCCCCTCGGGCGGCATGCTGCCAAAATTTTCACCTCTGGCCCCCTCCCCAGTCTCACGTTTGGGTCTGAGGTCAATGGGCTTTCGGATTTTGAATGGCACAGATTGCAGGTCGCCGCCGCTAGTACTATGCAGCCGTCTGCCAAGATGACGTCACGGACCTCTGTGCTGATTTTATCCCAGGACCCGACCTGGCACCCTGCGGTGGCGCCCATTGTCAGGTACTCCAAGGAGATCTGCGCCAACCAAACCAAGCCCTTTCCCTTTGTTATCCCGTGGGCTGAGCTGAGGGACGCTTGGAGAGGGGTTGTCGGCCCCCCCTGGGCCCAAAACCTGGCGCGGGGTCCGCGGGCCCCTGGGGGCCATGAAGTTGGCCCTGAAGAGGATTTCTTGGAGCATGCCCAACTATTGTACCCTGTTGGCTGATTTCGGAACCGAGGTGCCCCTTACTGTTACTTCCCCAGCCCTTCTTAAGAAGCTTTTGAAGGCCGCTGTTCAGAAGACCCATGAGAGGTCCAGCGGCGCTTCTCTGCTCCCGCATATTCCTGGAGCTCGAGTGTGCCATGACGTGGTGGCAGCCACGCTCCGCTCCAAGAAGGGCACGCCGTACCAGCGAGGGCGTGCCGAGGCTGTGGCTTGTAATGCCACGTGGGCTAGGACCAGAGCTGCCGAAGCAGGGTGCGCTGTTAGCGCGGCCTGCGAGCTGTGTGGGGGCGCGCCCGGTACCATGCTTCATCGGCTCTGGTTCTGCCCAGCGCGCCATGACAAGAGGCAGGCGGTGTTCGACAGTTTCAAGCTAAAGTTGCCCCTCCTGCCCCCGCCCGACCTCGCGCCCGAGAACAACGAAGAGGACCACCTACTGTTTACTCGTGGCCTGTTTCGGCATCCAGGGGATGTCTTTCCTTTCCCTGCTCGTGATGGTGTAGAAGACACTGGACTTGAGATCATCTGGGCCAATGATCGTTCGTCTAAATCGCTCAATATTTTTGGACATATCTTTGTGGACGGGTCCTGCGCTGCGCACCCTGTTACAGAACTCTCCAGGGCTGGGTGGGGGTTGCGATGGTAGGTGACGATGGTGACGAGATTTGTCGCATCGGTTGTCCACTTTGGGCCCCCAACCTCCAGACTGCCCAAGGGGGGGAATTTGGGGCCTACGCTGTTGCTGCAATGCACGCCCTGCCAGGTAGTTCTATATACGCTGATTGTAAGAATGTGGTCGTACAAGCCAACGAGCCATTGCTCAGGGCTTTGTCCTACCAGCGTGTGCATTCAGGATTTTGCCCCCCACCCAACGAAAGTTTTTAGAAGGGGTTTTGAAGGTCAAGGCGCATGTCGAGGAATCCAGTGACCTCACCGACTTGGAGCGGTTTTGGAAGCAAGGCAATGACCTTGCAGCTGTTGTCGCCAAAAGCTCGCTCGCCCGCCACCCGCAACCCGACCCCGAGGATGTGGTATGGCCCGAGCGATGCCTCTCTATCGCCCAGTGTGTTATGCGTCTTTCAACCGGGCTGATGCCAGAGTGGCCTCGGCTCAACCTGACTGGGGCCCCGCTCGCCCCCAAGCCCCCCAGGCCCAAGTTCGAGCCGAGGTCCCATCAGTGGACTCGGGCTTCCTCGTTTTGGCAGTGCATTGAATGTCTCAAGGTTGCTAAGGGCGTGCCGCGGGCGAACCCCGATGGTTCTCGGCCTGGAGGGCTCGACCCGCCCGCCCCTGGGAAGTGCCTTCGAGATTCCAAGCTGACGTCCGCGGTGCTTACTGCCCTCAGGCATAACTGCATTGCGTTGCTATGCTCCGATGGTGCTGCCCTCACTATTTGTATGCGATGCTATGCCTATTCCCCCCATGGGCAGCCTCGCAATTTATTTAGACAGTGTGACGGCCATCCACAGAGTGCGGGTGCCAAGTCTGCCTGGAGTTCTGTGGGGGCTGGACGCCACCCCAAGCGCAAAGGCGTTTCCGTCGAGGTCGGCCCCTGGTATGAAGACTTGGAGCAAGAGAAGCGGCCTCGGCGTCTCACCGACCAAGAAAGGGAGTTGCGGCTAGCCAAGCTGGCGCGGAGGCTAGTCGCCGCAGCTGGGGGGACATCAGTCCCAGCAGGCGTGGAGCTGGAGGTCGGCCCTCCACCGTCTGCACTTCCACTGGGGCAGCAGCAAGATCGCGTCGTTGGCCCTTCGTCCGATCCGTCGTGCACCGTCGAAGCTGCTGCCCCAACCTCTCTCCCTCTTAGGATCGCGTGACGCGGAAGAGGAAGCAGCCTTATATTTGTTGTTTGGCTTGCCTGGTGAGAGTCCCTCCCAGCAGACCATGCGGCTGGTGCCTGGGCCAGCCTCGTCGGCTGGTGCGTTTGGCCGAGATCGAGCCGCCTCAATCCTTGAAGAGGACGAGGCCTCGCTCGTCGCCGACGCTGCACCACAGTCTGATGACTCAGACTAAAGAGATGCAGCATGCGTCCTCTGCGTGTGTGTGTGTGCGTGCGTCTCGCCCTGACCTCATTCTTCTATGGTCGCGGGCTTTGGGGGGCAGGCGGTGAGCCACAGGGGGTCCTCCCCTCCTGTGGGAAATCGCCCCGTTGCTTTCGCGCCTGCCCTCCTTTTCACATTTTCACTGCTCGCTGGCCTGCTCCAGGCCAGATAGCAGGGGGGCGACGACCACGGGGCGTCGCTCTTGTTGCCACGGCTGATGTCAACAAAAATCCTCCTCCTCCTCCTCCTCCTCCTCCTCCTTCTGTAGCCATTTTGGCTCAAGCTGCGGCGCGCCTTGTATTAGGTTCGATTTGTTTTGATCTTCGGTTGATTCCATGGCCGAGGAACTCATTGTTCGCCTCCATGGCCAGGCTCTGCGCATGATCTGCGACACCACGGGTCGCGACTTCGCTGGCCTTGGTGTGGCCGCACGCACGCTCTTCAAAGACAAGTCCCAGCGGTCGTTGCGGCGGAGGCTCGAGCACGTCGACACCAGCTTCGCCCTCGTTCGGCGCATCAACCGTGTCAAATCAGAGTTCCCCCTTGACGGAGCTCGCCAATACGCTGGGCCAGTCTGGTGGCGTCGTCTCGCCGAACCTGCAGGAGGAGAACCAGCCTCGCGATGGTACTGATCCCCATCATCGGCTTCAACTTCCTGCAGGTGCTACTCGCGATCAGAATGTTCCACATGGCGCTGATGGTGCTGTTTCCGCCGAGCGACTCGTGGACGTTCATTGTGGCCTTCCCGAACCGCGTGAAGCAGTTCGCGCTGGTCCACGTGATGACGACTCGCCTCCAGTTCCTGCTGATGCTGAGCGTGTCGTGGATGTCCCTGGTGATTTTCCTCACGAATCGCGTGAAGCTGTTCGTGCTGGTCGACTTGACGACGGCTTGCCTCCAGTTCGTCATGCCCCCGCTGAGCGACTCGTGGATGTTCGCGGCGACCTCTCTGCCGAATTGCGCGAAGCTGTTCGTGCTGGTCGACTCGGCGATGTCTCGCTTCAGGCCGAATATCCCTCGGAGCCAGATCGTGATGCGCCTGGCGATGCCTTTCCGGATGGCGACGGCACCGCCAATGCGATGTCCACGTTCAGCGTGTCCGCCGCTGGCTCCCTGCGCAAGGTGGTGATCTACAAGCCGTGCCTCTGCGCGGCCACTACTCCAGATGATGTTTTTCCTCCTGCTGTCGAATCTCCTGATGTTCCTTATCGAGCTCCTCGCTGTCGTGCGTGCGCTCTGTGGCGGAGCTCATCCAGCACGAAGCGGGCAATGGCGTGCCGATATTGTAGGCAGAGTGCCTACTGGGACTCCTGAGAGCTTCCTCCCCCCCCCCCCCCTCCGTCTGCTTTTGTCTGGTTGGGCGGGGGTGGGATGTTGATGAGGATGATGGGAGGATGAGGTTGGATGGCTGCTACGCTTGCTATCGATCTCTGTTCTGGCATTCTATGCGTTGCTAGCCTCGCAGCCGCTTGACTTGTACAGCTTTCTTGTGAAGTACCATCAGGTGTTTCACTGGGGAGGCTGGATTGGTTGGAGTCACTTGATCATGCTCGTCTCCTTGCTAATGTGGCCAGGACTATTGATCCTGCTCGTGTGCCACGACAAGCTGAAGACAGCGTAGTGATAAATTCGTGAATGGGAGTTTTCCCCTTCTCTCGAATGTTGTTTTCTTGAGCCCTCCTCCCGTCTTTCCCTCGCACCTGTCTGTGCTCAGCGATTGGGTGGGGGAGGCCTGCAATGGCGGGGGGAGGTGAGCAGTTGGAGGTGTGAAGTGTTTCAACTTTAAACGTTGTTTAATCGTCCTGTGTTGACGCCTCCGTCCCTGGACGGTTTTGAATGGTGCACTGCTCGAGGCCCTCGAGGTTTCGTGTCCCTTGTTTCTTCGGTCGGGTCCCTTCGCTCGTCCTTTGTCTGGGTTCCTGGGTCCGTCCCTCGTTCCCCCTTTCGGTCCCTTTCGGGCCCTTCGCTCTTTGTCGTCGACTTCGGGCAGGAGTGATTGGCAGGCGATCACCCGCGAGCAAATCAAAAAAAAAAAAAAAAACAAAAAACATCCTCCTCCTCCTCCCTCCTACTCTTCCTCATCCTCCTCCTTCCTCCCGCTCCTCTCCTCTCCATTCCTCCTCCTCCTCCTCCTCCTCCTCCTCCTCCTCCTCCTCCTCCTCCTCCTCCTCCTCCTCCTCCTCCTCCTCCGCCTCCTCCTCCTCCGCCTCCTCCTCCCGCCGCGGCCGAGCGGGCGGGGCGCCGCGTGGCGCGGCTGCCCGCGCGGGCGGGCGCGCGGAGGGCTGCGACGGCGGCCGCCGCGGCGCGCGCGCGCGCGCGCGCGCGCGCGCGCGCGCGTGCAGGGCCGCCAGCCCTTCGCCCCCTGTGGCCTCGGCCCCGCTCCTCTCCTCTCCTCGCCCCTGCCCGCCTGCCGCCTCGGTCGGCTGTGCTTCCTCCGCCCGCCTCCTCCCCCCGTCCTCCGCCGTGTGCCCTCCCCGCGCAAACCTCCTCCCCTTCCCCAGGATCGACGCAGCGGCGCCACGGAGAGTTGATACTTACCTTGGGTATTCAAGGATCAGGGCGCTCCCCCGCCATCCCGCACTTCTTCTCGGCCTCCCTCCTGCCCCCTCCCTACCCCCCCTGCCTCCCTGCCTCCAGTTCTACCCTCCCTCCCTGCCTCCCCCCTCCCCGCCCTCCATCCATCCTCCCTACCCTCCCTGCCTACCTCTCTGCATCCTTCCTGCCTCCCTACCTCCCTACCCTCCCTGCCTCCCTCCTCCGAGCCGTAGTCGCAGCAAGATTGCTCCCCTTTATATCACACTGGGACTCCACGACATGGGCCTGGGCCCAGGCGCGCCGCGCTCCTGAGCGTGGCGCCCGTCCGCATTTTCTAGGGCCCTTCAGCCAACCAGCTGCGTTCAGACCCTCGTTGCCCTCGCGTCCTGCAGCATGTTCGGAGGCGCGCATGCGCTGGGTAGGTGTGGCACGATGCTGAACGCCCTCACGGTCGTCGCCTACAATCCAATCTCCGACAATGCCGGTGGCATCGCCGTCATGAGCTATCTGCTCCTAGAGGAGCTGGATATCCACATTGGGGCTGCCGATCGACTTCGAGGAGCGTCATTGCCGCTGCGGCAACGCGTCCCTGGCGCTAGCGGTGGCTTCCATGCTCGGCTTGACGGCGGAGTGCTACGAGGTCTTGGTTTCAGCTAAGGATTGCCAATCTCCTGCGACACCAGTTGCCTTGCTGTCGCGGGCTGTTTACGGCTGTTTCGTCGTCTTCCCTTTCCGGCGTTCCACCTCGCTGGAACGCTCCAAGGTGTTGGTGCGCTGGAGCTCCTCATGGGGCCACGAAACGCGTGAGGGGTGTGCCAAAACGGGAAACGGGCGTGACGCCACATGCGAACGCTCCTTCTGGTTCCTTCGGTGGAGCTCCCTATGGGTCCACGGAGCGCGTGAGGGATGTGCCGAAACGGGCATGACGCCCACATGCGAATGCTCCCTCTTGGGCCTTCGGTAGGGCCCCTTCCAGGGGCCACGTAGCGCGTGAGGTTTGTGCCGAAACCAGCGTGACCCCCACGTGCGAATGCTTCTTCTTAGGCCTTCGGTGGAATCTCGTGTTGGGCCACACGGGCGTGACGCCCACATGCGAACGCTTCTTGTTGGCCCCCTGAGGCCACGAAACTGTGAGAGGTGTGCCGAAACGGGCGTTTCGCCCGTATGCGACTGTTCCCTTTGGGGGTTTCGGTGGAGCTCTCTATGGGGCCACGAAGCGCGTGAGGGGTGCACCGAATGGTTGACACGCGGGGGGCAGAGGCAGGGATGGGAGGACTGACAGGAGGAAGGTGGAAGGAAGGAGTGAGCGACGCGGGGCGCTATCTCTGCAAAGCGAGGACTTCACACCACAGGATAGTTAGGAAAAACAAGAACCATTCGATCCGACGGCAATCAATTGTTCGGGCAGTCTTGAGTGCATCGTGGGCAGTCCTGGGGCCGTCTCGAGGTGCTCCTGAACATTCCCTGGCTCTTCTCAGGGGAACTTGGGGAGGTTCATCGGGCCGTTTTTTTTTGGGGGGGAGGCATCGTCCCAGAGGCCCACGCGACAACACCCAGGAGCGCTCAGGAGCGCCCAGCAAGTCTTGGTAGTTCGTGGTCCATGGCGGTAAGAAGTTGCACAGTCCCTATCCACCTCTCAAAGCTGATCTCTCGAGGGGCCCCTCGGAGGCCTCTTGGATGCGGTTTAGGAGTAGTTTGGGGGCCTCTTTAGGGTCTCTTTGTGTTCTCTTGGGGCCTGGTTTGGGCGCCTTGGGGGCCTCGAGCTCCTTGGAGGCTTCTCGGGGGCCTGCTGGCGGTCTCAGAGGTAGTTTTGTGGCGGAGGGCTCGACATTTATGTCTGTCTTCCCCCTGTGGCCTCTCTTGGGCGTCTCGGAGCCCTCTTGGCCCGTCTAGGGGCGCTTTGGGGGGCCCTATGCCGTCTTGGGGTGATCTCCGTCTTGGATCGTTGAACGCCTCGAACGGCCAGGCGAGAACCCGAAACCCATGGGAAGTCCATGATTGTTGCATCGTGGGGCGCCTCTCGGAGCCATGTTGGGGCGTATTGGGGCCTCCTGGACTTTCTGGAGGCCATCTTGGGCGTTTTGGAGCGACCTCAGGCGACGCGGGGCGCTCTTGGACCATCTTAGCGGCCTCTTTGGGGCCCTCTTGGACCGTGTTGGGGTCCTCGTGGCTCCGAAACAAATGTTGCGGGAACGCACGGCTGCGTTTGAGAGCGCCAGGAACTCAAGGCTGTGGGGCCCTTCAGCCATCAGGAGCGAAGGCAGGACTGAAAGGACTCGTCGTCCTCCTCCTCCTCCTCGTCCTCCTCCTCCTCCTCATCCTCCTCCTCCTCCTCATCCTCCTTCTTCTCTCTCCTCATCCTTTCTCCTCCACTCCTCCTCTCTCCTCCTGCTGGTTCCTCCTCCTTTCTCCTCCTTTCTCCTCCTCCTCTCTCCTCCTCCTCTCTCCTCCTCCTCCTCCTCCTCCTCCTCCTCCTCCTCCTCCTCCTCCTCCTCCTCCTCCTCCTCCTCCTCCTCCTCCTCCCTGAGGATGGCACTCAAAGTCGTGCTTCAGGGCACGTTGGCGGGTGCATGCACGTGTTCGTGTGTGCAAGTAGCGGTGGACGTGACCTCACGGGCAGACGCTCTAGAGCACGCCCTCCGCTTCTCAGGCGGAGCAGAGGACCCCCTCACTATAGAAGGCACCGTCAGCCGCCGAGGTAGCCTGCGCAGTCGTCGGGGAAAGGGTCCATCACCCCCGATACGCGTCGGTGTTTGCCATTTGCGGCGACGGCTCCGCGGCCACCCAAGGGCTGTCTGTGTTGTCGGAGCATGCCGACCCATTCATATGGTCACTTTGTCGCGTCGAAGGAACCTGGGCGCGCGCGCTCTGGTTCTAGCGTTCGTACCTGTATACACAAGCAGTCTCTCTCTTCTTCTCCTCGTACCCTGCCCTCGCTTTCCTCGGCGCTTTCGCAGGAGCAGGGTGTTTATTACCACGGTGACGACGAGGAGGGCAGCTGAAGGCGGGGGAATCAGAGGGGCGGGAAGAGGAAGTGGACGAGGACGGCGAAGTGTATGAGGACGTGGAGGCTCCTCCCCCCGCGCCTTCGCGCCGCATCTCTCCCCGTTTCTTCTCCAGGGCGAGTGGATGCCCGCCGCCGGAGGCATGGGGCGATGGCAGCTCCGAGCTTCTTGCAGCGCGACGCTGGTGCACGCGTCGGTGCGCCCTGACGGGGCGAACCAAGCGACGCCGCCAGCGGCGACCCCGACGACGTTGATGACGGCGGCCACCTTGACGACGACGGCGACGACGGTAATGCCGACGATGACGACGATGACGACGATTTTTAGTAGCGCGGCCACCATCTACTAGCGGCATCGAAATCCCCCATGCCAACCCGGGAAGCCAACCAGGGCTAGGCAGTCAGGGCAGAGAACGAAGGAGAGGACGAGGCTAGGACGAGGATCAATCCGTTCCAGTTCGTTCCGAAACGCTCCCAGAGCGTTCCGGAGCGCTCTGAGAAGGCCGCAGCGCCCGAGTCATCTTCTAGAGCCGCCGGACTTCAGAGATTCCCGATTCCCAGACATCCGACGTCTCGATTTATTCGAGACACAGGATCCCGACCTCCCGACCACTTCCCCAGGACTGGTTTTTCATCCCGAGTGGTTTCTTGACGGTCCCGAGGCCCGGTGAGGGCCCCGAGAGGGCAACACTTACAAAAAACCTCCGTCTCGTCTATTTCGAGACGCCCGATGTCTGGGCTTCTATCCTCGTCCCATGTGATCCTCGTCCTGGCTTCGTCTCAGAGGACGAAGCCGATGCCGACGGCGGCGGCGCCGTGGCCACGGCGGCGGCGGCAGCCCAGGCGCGTGCCAGGCCGTGTCCGTGCCGCGGTCCCTGGAGCCGGGGCCGCCGCCCCTGGTGGGGACGTGGTGCAGCGCCGAGGGGCGCTTTTTCAGCATCGCGCCGCGGCTCCCCGCCAGCGCCGCCCACGGGGGCCCCCCAGCGGAGGACGTGGCGTGAAAGTCGGGCATGTCCGTGTGCAGGAGGGAGATTCAGAATAGTCAAAAAATAGTCTGGGAACGAGTTTCTCCTATTTTTGACTCTTGTTGGGCATGTCTTGACTGTGTTTTCTATTCTTCTTCCAAGCTCCGCCTGCAGGAGGACATGCCTGACCTAAGGCTTGGCATTGCTCGGGCGTGTGCGATTTTTTCTCGGCAGAAACCATCGAAGAGCATCCTTGATCATCACGCGAAGGACAAAGAACGCGCACGAAACCGACAAATGCACGGGGGAACGGACGTCCGAGCGATGGGGAGATGGGGTGCCGGTGGTTCAAAGACTCAGGGAAAAAAAGGTGCCCATCCGTCTAATTCTCCCTCGTTTGCCCCTCTGTGGGCCTCCTGGGAGGTCTTCGTCGCCACTGCTGGATTCGCCTCTGAATTTTGGTCAGAGAGCGCCCCGGGAAAGGTCCGCGGAGTACCCGTATCAGTATTTACCTCTTGGTCTCCCCACCAGGTGCCTCTTGATCTCCCTAGTCTCCCGGCGCTCCGCCGAACTGCGGACGTCGGGGGGCGCGTAGGGGCGGGGGGCGACAGACCCAGACCTCCTGGCGTTGTGGCAAAGTCACGATGGAAGATGTTTCGCTGCTCTAGGCCTCCGGGGGCCCTGACCAGGCCCGAGGACCGTCAACAAGACGACTCGGGACGACACACCGGGCCCGGGGAAGGTGTTTAGACTCCTGGGGGTCGACGTCGCGAAAAAATCTCGACGTCGGGCCTGGGAAATGGGCCACGGGACAGCGGGGGCTGCCGAAAAGGGGCCCTCCTAGGGCCTGGAAGGGCCAGTTTAGGGCCCGAAAAGGGCACCGTTTTTATGTATTGTTATTTTTGTTGTCTCTCTTTGTTTTTTTCTCTCTTGTTTTGTTTTCTCTCTCTCTCTCTCTGTCTCTCTCTCTCTCTCTCTCTCCCCCATTTATCCCTCCCATCTCTTTGCGCTCAAGAACGAACATGACACACACACACACCTCTTACGTCGGCGGCTAGGCAGAGCGACTGCTTTGGCGAAGTGCCCCCCCCCCCCAACACACACACACACATACACACAGACACAGACACAGACACAGACACAGACACAGACACAGACACAGACGCGCGCGCGAGCGCACTCACGCACGCTCACACGCACGCATGCACGTATGCACGCACGCACGCACGCACGCACATACGTACGTACGTACGTACGTACGTACGTACGTACATACATACATACATATATACACACATGCATGCATGCATGCATGCATGCATGCATACAAACATACACACATACATACATACATACATACATACATA